TAATTGTACACCACTATTTAAATAACATTGTAATCTTGATCATCATCATCATCTTCAATTTTATCACTATTGTCATCATCATTATCATGTAAAGGAAACATTTAAAATGTTATAACTATAACTTCGCCCCCGAAATTATTCAAAAATTATTCAACGTTCGTAAACTATGTCCCTCCCTTGTTAGAGTCCTGTACTGACTTGTTTCCTTTTACATGCCCTACTTCCTATATGTAGATAAGAATAGTTAGTCTTTAAATAAAGGACTTTCAACTTTTATTGTAAAACTTCCTGAAGAAGTCTACAGAGTTAGATGAAACGCGTAGGAGATATGAAATAATCTAGCATCCTAAGTGCTGCTCACTGGTTCCTTTCAAAAAGGTTTCAAAAATTTTCAAAAATTTTCAAAAAAATAGTCGTCAGTGATGAGGAGATGGAAACCGATATTCCTCTTCCAGTTCAGTATGTATCGTGATCAGGAAGACAGTCTATAGCAAGCTGTTGTTACCAGTCATCGCAATGGCTTGCATAGGAATGTGTAGGTATCAGGATAAAGAAATGTTTGTATTTAGGTATATAGAGGGGGGGGGGGGTACAATTTTTTCCCTGCTAAAGGAGGGAATGTTGTCCAACATACTGAAGTAAGCTTGAAGTATCCTTTTATGCTGATGATACAGTCTTATACTCTTTCTTCGCTTCAACTGCTGACATTAAAGATAAGCTTACTGAAGATCTTAAAATAGTTGGTGATTGGTTTAAACTCAATCATTTAACATTAAACACCTCTAAAACTATGTAAAGCCATGGTGTTTGAAAGTAAGTGGAAAACTAGTAACATCTCAGCCATATCCATCCAAATACACTCGAAAAAGGTTGAAAAAGTGGACGAATATTAGAAACTTGGTGTGTTTTTTAGTCCATTTCTTGGCCAGCTCTTATCGAAAAACAGTCAGTAACCAAATAAACAAACGCCTCGATCCCCTGAAGCGAATCAAACATCTTTTACCACAGTTTGCTAGGCTGATGTACTTTAAAAACTTAGTTCTACCGCTCTTTGATTATGGGGATGTTGTGAGGGAGATAACGACAACGTCACGTTGATGCAATCACTTCCACCGGCAACCGGTTGGCTCATTTGGTTGAACATCGGACTTTCGTGCGGGAGGTTGGGGTTCGAGTCCCGTCTGGACCAACACTCAAGTTTCAAGTTTCAAGTTTATTCGCACACAAGTACAATAAGCTAAATTGTTACAAAAAAAGTGGAATGAATGATGATACAAGTGGAGATTATATATACAAAGAATTCAGGTTAATGCAAGAGGAAAAATAAATAGGTGTGCATGGCTGTTGAAGTAGTATAAACTTTCGAGTCAACAGCCAACTCAGGGTCTTACATGTACAAATGGTTAGACTTTGTGGCTCGGATGTCCACTTATAATGGCGTTCCCGTCTCTCCAAACTTCATCATCCTAACCAATATCGGAGGGACGTAAAAGAACCATTGAGGACGTAAAGAAACCCTGGCATTGACCACCCTCAGTACCTACACCTCATACTAACCATCTCGTGTTTGTAAATTGCCTTAAAAAGCAGTTTGACATTCATACCCAATGTAAAGCACCTTTGATCATACCTACATAAAAGGGCGCTATATAAATCACAAACAATAAATCATTATATTGGTATATATGTACTGTTTAATAAACGAGCAGGAGTGTTTTATCGGGTATAAAACACGAGGCGTAGCCGAGTGGTTTTAGACCCGATAAAACACGATCTGCGAGTTTATTAAACGGCTTAAAAAACTCCAGATGTATGTTCTCATACTGTACCGAATTCTTTACGAAATGAACCAAGTTTGATAGAGAAAATCCAAGTTAAAGTTTATGCAAATGAAGACGAATCTATATCAGATATAAAACCTCCTTCATGGTCATGATTTCTATTGCGTTTCCTTCATGAATTATTAATGAGTTTTTTAAATCGTATATATTTTACGATATTGCTGCACATGGTTTCATACCAGCGAACATTTTTATGTATGCTGACTCCTACAGGGCAAAAAAAGTGACTAAGTGTGCAAAGTGACTAAACAATTGCCTACGAGTGTCTCAACTTGTCTTGTTCCCGTGTTATTTAGATATAGATTTGGTAATGATAAAAGGGTAAATTATACACCGTGAAAAGATAAAAAAACTTACTGACGTTTCAAGCGGAAACGCCCGAAACGTCAGTAAGTTTTTTCATCTTTTCACTGTGTATAATTTACCCTTTTATCATTACTGATTCATTAGAAACACCTTTTTCCTCTAAAATCTGTTATGCTTACTTTCTTTGCGTACTTTAAAACTGGAAAGAGACCGCTTATCCCCATGTGAAAACTGAACCGTGCGGATCAGGAGTTCAAATTATTACAACCAACCACAGTGATCCTCAAAAGTCCCTTTCACTGTTCCCTGCGCCATCTTGAAAGGTAGCCATGCCTTTGCATCGAAGCGACACGAACGGTGAGCTTGCAATGATAAGGAGACTACTGGCGGCAGCTAAATACAAATGACTCGAATTTCATAAATATACCATACGATACCTTGCGATTGGAGTGCGAACAGCGCCCGAGTTTTGCCTTTGTCTTCGTTTTTATTACGTAAAATAGCAGTTGCCTCACCACAGGTAGCCTAAGCTATGTATGATTATTAGGCTTACTGATATGTGCGAAGCAAACGACTCGAAAAAGAAACAAATCACGTTAATTATACCTAACCGTTCTGTGTTTTATTTCACGGTTATTTCACCGTGTAAACAACAACAAAGGATATATATATAAAGTATATATTAAAGTTTAGTTTCCAGTCTTTTCGCATTTTCTTTTTTAATGGCGGCTAAATCAACAATAAGTCGTAAAGATAAGGCAGTGTATATACTTTCGGATTTACTTCAATACCAAGGAGAGTCTTTGGAACACAAAATATGAGGCACATCGGAATAGAAATTGGAAAACTCAGTTGCTCAACATCTAAACGAAGAACAAAATGTTTTAAACAATTTTCATTTTTATTCATGTATGATTATGGAAGCAGACCTGGCTTTGCAAAGAACCATGCAAACGCTGATGATCTTACAATGATCTTCCGAGAAACCCGGCCCAAACTCAATAACACCAAACTCAAAAAGCCCAAACTCGAAAAACCCAAACATGAAAACTGATGCGGATTTAAACAAGGCCACCTCTATACACGTATCAAATATATTCTTCTGGATACTTACTAACACGACTATCTGAATGATTGGTAAGGGTTTGTTCTTGCATTTATAGGTCATTCATCAATCAAAGGGAAGTTATTGCTCCGATGCTAAACTCAATGTATGAAATGAATGTGTCTGCTATTTGGCCTTCGGTTTCTTCGCAAAGTCTGGTGAGTAACATACCATGAATTTACCTTCTCATATACAATATACCTACCTACCTRCCCACCTACCCACCTACCTACCTACCATCTACCTATAGATTCATCTGTGCTCCCTAGCGTAACGTATTATATATAGTCTATAGCAACTCATTGTTAGCATTTTGGCAAAAGATAAAGCTATGTATTTGTAGCCATATGAGTCATACAATACATCTTTATTCACATTTCCTTTTATGTTAGATTACATTAAATCATATATTTAGATCATTGAAAAGAAAATACTTATTTGGTCAAATAAATAAAGTTAAATATAAGTTGTAATGAAAGGAAATGCCTAGAGCCTAAATAAACCATATAGTTTCCTAGTTAGACCCTAGTTTCTCGAGTCTCATTGTGTTTGATTCTTTTTTCTAGAAATGGCAATCAAAATAGTCGGAAAATGGTACAATAAAACCCCGTCCAAACGTATCTGGAAATTTTTGTATCCGCAAATTTTTTTTTTGCGCATACGGGTTGCGTCCACACGTGTCCGCTAATTTTTGTGTCCGTATCCGCAAATTTTACGGATACGGATACGTGAGGACGGTGAAAACGATTCTAATACGCTGCGTGTGAACGGGGCCTAAGGAACACCTTCGTGGGTTCTCTAGATTTTAAATCTTCTAAAACGTGAACGATGATAAACACCTGGAGAGATCAAGCTTAATAACGTTCACTACTAACTACTTACATCAACTGAAGATTTCCTGTCGATCTGACAAGCGAGCGAATATTCTCGAGTGATTCTCAGTTGAACCTCCTAAGGCATTAGGGTTTGAAAAAAATTCAAAAGTAGCGAAAAATGAGCATCTCAAAAAACGGTGTGCTCAAAGTTTTATGTATAAATATGAAACCATTTGGGAGATATCAAAGTTTCACTAGTGAAGTTCGAAAATTAGCTCTTCGAAAATTTGCCGTTTCCAGCAAATCTACACGGTTTGATGCGGATCGTTATAAGTTTCGTCATACGTTGAGGTTAAAGCTTATATTTTAAGCATTGGTAGATTGTTCTAGTATACATTGGGTAACAAAACTTCAAAGTCATACGCCAATATACCACTGACGAGATATATATTTTTTAAAACCACATTTAAAATTGTGTTTAAGTTACAAAAAGGAGCAGTTAAGGTTAATGGCAAAAAAACTTGTTTTTGAATCGAACTTTTCCTTACCGAGAAGTTTCACAGCTATGACAGTGAGCTGACGATTGTAATTAGTTTTGTACATGTATGAGTTCATAATTAAGGGGGACATCAAGTTTTTTGTTCGAGTAGAAAAGGCTTGCATCATCCGCGAATAAGTGGAAGTTTAGTACATTAGAGGAGCGATGAAAATCATTAATATACAGTAAGAATAAGATTGGGCCAAGCACAGACCCTTGAGGCACGCCTGTTGTAATGTTCATGATGTCTAAGTCAGTATTCCCGAACTACGAAAGATCCCTTCCTGCAGTCGAGTCACGCGCCTATCGCGTAACTCGAACTCACACAACTTTCTTAATGACATAGAGTTACGCGCACTGCGTTAAGACGTCAAATTTGGGTGTGGTCGAGCGCGTAACTCGAAAAATGCGTAACTCGAAGCGCGGAACTCGTCGAATACCCGTCCTCGCCTGAACAGGCAGTTGAGTTAGTTTGGTGTTTCCTTTCAACCTGATTTTTTGAATTCACTTTGAATTGGGTTACAAAAAGGAACATTGCGTAAAATTAGCGCGATCAATATCAGTACACCAACGCAGTGACATACAAACACAACATGCAATACACTTGAATCTCTCTTTTCGTCGAGGGTCGTTTTCTGATGTATTTAATTACGAACTTCTGGTAGTGACAGTTTGCAAGGTAAACGCTCCTTTTAATTATGTAAATTTTGACCAATTATTGTTTATTAGTGCTCAGCGTGCTCAGCTTCAGAAAACACTTTTTTTCGACATGGTACCGTCGACCCTCGACATGGTACCGTCGACCCTCGACATGGTACCGTCGACCCTCGACATGGTACCGTCGACCCTCGACATGGTANGACATGGTACCGTCGACCCTCGACATGGTACCGTCGACCCTCGACATGGTACCGTCGACCCTCGACATGGTACCGTCGACCCTCGACATGGTACCCTCGACCCTCGACATGGTACCCTCGACATGGTACTGTACCCTCGACCCTCGACCCTCGACGAAAAGCGAGACTCAATACACTTATAAAACAGCACACCATTACATTGATACAACAACACACTGATACAACAGCACACCAATACATTGATACAACAACACACTGATACAACAGCACACCAATACATTGATACAACAACACACTGATACATCAGCACACCCATACACTGATACAACAACACACTGATACATTAGCACACCAATACATTGATACAACAACACACTGATACATTAGCACACCAATACATTGATACAACAATACACTGATACAACAACACACCAATACATTGATACAACAACACACTGATACGACAGCACACCAATACACTGATACAACAACACACTGATACAACAGCACACCAATACACTGATACAAAAACACACTGATACAACAACACACCAATACATTGATACATCAACACACTGATAATATATATTTAGGCACTGCCTAAAAGCGGAGCTCCCAATACGAAAGTCACAGGTAGCCCAATTTGAATAAATCAGAAAGGTAAATATAAGATCGGGAAAAAATCGTCAATTATTTTATATTCGAGATGAAGATAATGTCTCCCATAATAAAAACCATGCAGTGAAATCGAATCGAAATGCACTACATTGTTTTCTGTGCACGAGTATACTCTCCCACTAAGGAATTTCGTACACTACCCACCACCGTCCACCCCAGGGGCTAGTTTTTTTCTTGAAAAATTCTTCTACAAAGTTTTGCATGGCCGACATTTTTATGCTTTGGATTCCTAGTTAATTTTACTTGAAAAAAGAAAGATAACTACTGATAATCCAATAAAAGGCCAAGTTTAGTGAAATTTACCTTGGATGTCTATCATTACAATCCAAATTTCGGAGATTTCCTTGCCGTTTTATGGACAAGTGAACACAGCATATTAGAAAGAAAGACTTAAAAACTGCTTGAAAAGGTGAGCAAAACATAAGCTTACTTTTCTTTTACATAACAATGTTTGGTTATCCATATGAAGAGTTTAGATTTTTATAAGAACCGTATTTTGACGGCAATGAAATTAAGAAAATAAATAATTTGGTAGCATCAGAGAGAGAAAATTGAATGGAGATCATTACCTAACTATTGTGAAATAAAGGCCCTGAATGTTGAAGCCAAATTTGTCGTCAGTTAAAAAATAGTATTCTGATCCTAATTTTTCATTAAAATATTTTTATTCTTTTATATAACTTAACTACTTTTCAAGGAGCTTGAAAACAGTTTTCGTCTGTTTTCATGGTAGTATGTGTGAGAAAGATACGGAAATCACGAACGACAAACGTTTTCGAAAAACAAAGCTTACATTCATTTAAACTTGACAAGAACAACTGAGACAAAGTAGAAAATAATTCAAAATGCAATGCAAAATACAAAATGACGAATTTCTTTGTGAGTAAATTGGCATTCGTAAATGTTTCGAATTTTTTTTTAGCTTTTTATAGTGAAGTCTAGGTCTTTTATATTATATTATATACAATAGCACCATCTTTCAACAACACAAATTTAAGCTCATTTGTATAACCATACTAGCTTGAACAGCTTAATAAACAGTTGAATATTTGGTGTAATTTTATATTTCATTCAATATTTAAATAAATTATCTGTAGAAAGCTATAAGATTATTGAATGAAAATCTTATTTGTTTTGCCGATGGGACCCCGCAATAGGAGGCGAACAAAGCTGCACTTGAACGAAAAACATACGATAGTTGGTTAAAATCAGCCGAATTGTTAAAGATTTACAAAGCTAGATGACGTACGAATATTTGTTGTAATATGCTCTCCGTGTTATATTTCCTCCTACATTAGAATAAATTAAGCTTATCTATTGCTTACTATCAATCACGTAACTTTTTGGAGTTGACTGGGGGGCAAACAAGCGGTAGACTGGGGGGCAACTAGCGGATGCTAAGTCAAAACATATCAAAATAAGTTCTCAAACTATTATATTTGACTATTTTCACGACATCAAACCAGAAAACAAGAGATCAAAACAACCTCCAGGATTCTACAAGCCATCAAAAAAGACAGCCTATAGGAATATTAAAAGTTTTTAGAGAAGGTCTTTGTTTTGTCGAGAAAATTTATTATCAAAAAAATAATAATATACGATTGTTTGCTAAAAAACACACACCTGAATTCTTGAAGAACGCTTCTTGATCCATCTTTGACTACATGAATGTTTTTTTTAATTGCTGTTGGTTTAGAAATTGTCCTAAAGCGATTTTTTCTGTACGTATGTAAGTACGTACGGACGGAAGTGATGTAGTAGTCAAGCCATGAAAAATCAACTCGATAGTTTACCATTTTTTCTTAAGTATGGTGCTCCGCGCGTGAGCTCCGCTACAACAGCACACCAATACAGTGATAAAACAACACACTGATACAATAGCACACCAATACATCGATACAACAACACACTGATACAATCGCACACCACTAATACATTGATATCACAACACACTGATACAACAGCATACCAATACATCGATACAGCAACACACTGATACAAGCGCACACCACTAATACATAACAACACACTGATAACACACCATTTCATTAATACAGCAACATACCAATAGACACTGATAAACCAAAACATTGATACAACACACCGATATACACTTATACAGCAGCACGACAATACATTAATTAACGCATCAACATACTGATATAACAGCATACCAACAGATTGATGCAACAACACACTGCTGATATACCAACACATTATGTAATACGCTGTTACAACACACCAATACATACTGGTACATAACTGCACTGATATACCAACACATCATGCAATACCAGATACAACACTTCGATAAATTAAGTATAGAACTACAAACCGATAGACTGATACAACAATATACCAATACACGGATAAAACATTGTTTTGCACTTTTGTTTGATTCAGGTTACATATTTAGATCTTATTAACCGAGCGGGAGGTCTGTACGGGATAATCTTGACCGAGGTCGGAATCTACATACCGAGGGCAGCGAGGTCTGTACCCGACCGAGGTCATATGACCGTTTCAAATATACGTACAAGTATATCAAAAGTATATCAGACACGGCGGGATATATTTCTTGATATTTTTTTTCAGAAAGCCCTAGTGATAGACAACTTGAAACAATTATAGGGGATGATATCCCACTATTTTTGATATACTTTTGATATACTTGTATATTTATTGGAAGCGGCTATAATTTTTGCAAATGGCTGTATATTTATATATATGGCATACATGAAAAAAAGGCAAAAGAAAACATTTGACTGAATATTCCACGCATAATATTTTATGAGATTTGTTTGCTCACAACCAACTAAGCTTATATTCATAGCGATTTTGGTTAAAAGTACGTGTAGTTGAAAGAACGTTTTTTTTACTGTAAAGGAAATCTGAATCACTATAAAAATATTTGGATTGGCTAACTTGAGTTTTATATTGAAAAACATAATACCTAACAGTTGTTGAACGTGTTGAACTTTGCGGCTCAGTTTTGGGATCTTGTAGACCAAAATATTGTGTAAGCACTTACCACATCGTGTTTAATGGTCTTGGTCATAGTATTTTTCGTTTCTGCTTTAGTTTTTGCTTTACTTCGGCAAAGAATCGCTCTATTATTTTCTTTAGATCGGCTGGCTCATTTCCCTCAATTCATGTCATACTTTGCTTTCTTCTCACTATTTCTTCCATATCTTCAGCCATAATGATGTACTTTTACTTGTGTTTTCTTTTTTGAACTGTTTTTTAGTTATAAAATCTGTAAAATCTTTCCTTAATTTTACCTAAGATAAAATGGCTGCCACCCCCCTCCCCCCCTCCCCCCACTCTATTTGTTAAATTATCTTCGTCATAAAAATCTGTTAT